ATTAACCAAGCTGGTAAGTTAGTAAAGACAGGAGAAGGACCAGAAAATGTGGACATTTGTCTTGGAGATGACCTAGAAACACATCTGTTTCACCGGAACACACTTTGACTTATACTGTTTACACCCATAACACTAACAATTTTCCAACACATTACCTAACCAGCACTCTGCTCAGTCCATAGTGATGGTTGGCTGATTTTAACCAGGAAAAATTCCAGATTAGAAATATTTGACACTTAGAGAGCAGACGGTGACAATCCTTGATACTATAATGTTCATCAAATGTGTCACTATATTTCAGATTCAGAAACCCACCCTCCTTCCCTAAAACTCTCATCCTCCCTCTACAGCACCCCAATACCTTCATCCCTTGTCTATCTGTAGGACAAGACTTTCTGGATTATCACCAAAAAAAATTTAAACTTGAGTAAAAGATATCTATCAGTAATGTAGATTGAATCTGAGAGATGATTTTTGACATTAGCAATTTCCCTACATGTATACTCCTGGGAACTCACCTCCCCACTACAAAGTCACAAACCAGTGAACACGGATACCTGCCTGATCAGTTTAAATGTTTCAGGGCACGATAGATCTTATTGTGTACATCCTCCACATAGTATCCCCACTAAGATTTATACCTATACGGCCGAGCAACTTTCCATTTTACTGTCATCTCCAAGTTCACGACTGAGTGACCCCAATACGACCTTACACGGTGACCCATGATAACGGTACTCGCACAGTAATGATAATCAACATGTCCTTCCTTCCTCTCATAATGCTTCAGGGCATGTCATCGGTCGGAGATCACTGTCAGGTTTCTAATTATGTTAATATATTCCCCTTGGAAACTGACCAGTTTTGTAAATGAAACTTTCAAAAATAAATGACCATTTCCTGGATGTCCGCCCACGTGTCTACGGAGGTTAATGGTTACTTATAGAACCATAGCTGTACATCTATCTCATCTCAAAATTTTTTATAATGTTGAGTTGATTAGATTTTTCTTTGTCAGATATTTTTTTAAACTTTAACAGTTTTATTTTATTAGCCATGAACTTTGAACATTTTTTTGCTTTTTACAATTAGATGTGATATAACAGAATTATCCATTAAGACAAATCACCCTCACCCACAAATTTAAGTGATGTTAGGATAGAGAAAAACTTGTTGTTAAGGTAATTGGGTGTTTACAAGATCTAATCATCTGTCAGTGTAGAAGATCAACACTGCCTTACTGTCAAGACTTTCACTTATTATTCCTATTAAAATTATTTGTACAGCAATACCTGTAGAAGAAAATCAATCACATAATGTATAGGAAAAAGTTTATTCTAATGTTACATCACAGAAACTAGAACATCAAATATGGCATCATTTCCACCATTTCCGAGGAACTGTTCCATCAGGATCAGAATGGATCCTTGGGAATGATCCGTCATTCTAAATGGACTCAATATCACACATTAAAATGTAGATACATCAAACTTATGCACATAAAAATCAATTGATTGTGGAACAGTTCACCTCTACATTAAACAGCTTTGAATTTAACACAAGAAAGTTAAAGCTGAGATCTATGTAACATAAAGCAATGAAACTCTCTATTTCTTGTATAAAGTACTGTGACATTCCATTTCCTTGTGATAATCGAACTGGTACCTATTTTCCCACAATGCAGCTGGGGGTCATGCGTGACAGTACTAGATCTTCCCGATTATTCCAGAGCTTTATTACCAGTTTCATTTGTGTGAAACTTCTGTGATAAAACTAGTAGATAAGACTTGTGGTCAGTTTAATAATTAGGGTTTAAACTTGTCAAGGTGCTTTTGAAGTAATTATTGTGTGTTTGAGTCATATATCATGCCCTGAGTAACAAAATTGTAGCCATCTGGAATACAGTAAATACCATTAGACACCCTAAAATACTGCATGTAGATAATTTGTATTCAATTTTCAAAAATCAATTTTATAATTTTGATACCGAAAGTGAATACATCAAATAAATCCTTTCGATGATGGGTTATTCTATAAAATAACTCACACATATTTTTAAATCTGACATCATGCGTAATAATGTGCCAATAGCATCTATCCAGTCAGTAATTCTGGGGACAATTTATCCCACTTAACAGTGGGTAGGAAACAGAAAGGGAACAGATTGGGCAACTATCCAATCAGTGATTTAGGGGACAGATTGGCCATCTATCCTAAAGTACTTAAGGCAACATGTTTTCTCTTCATCTGTCTTAGAGATGGCCACTACTAATGCTGTTTCACAATTCAGGAGACGCAGATTACCATAAAAGACGTATCACGTTAATTCCTAATACATCTTTACAAAAGAACGCCAAACTTGATAATCAGTATAACATACCCGATATCTCCTACAACTTTAGAACAGAACATCAAATTTTGAAGACATTTACTACACCTGAGGACTTTCACTATAAATGTTACACACCTATTTTATACAAGACTTTAAATAAGTGCCAAGGTTAATGAGACATACAGGTAGGGTATCTTTCTGGGAGCTGTCACACGTGTAATGATAGGGTGGGTTTATCTACCTGGACAGGTACGCCAAAGTCCCCCACCCAGCTTACTTCATTGCACCATTCTAGAATGGCCTTTCTCTTCGCTAAATTGTACACTTCCGATTCTTTGTTCCAATCTCGAAAGGCAGCTATCACGGAATAGCATGTTATACTGTATACTTAGCTCGTCAATATCGAGTCATAGATCACACGTAATTATCCACCCAGAAAAACTAAAAAAAATACAGCTTATAATTAATGATGAATATATCTCGCCTCAAATATCCAACTATTGAGTGACAACCCCAGTTTAAAGAAAATATATAGTAGAGAAATATTTCCAGTGACATTGCACGAGGAATGAAATAAAGCATGTGACACAGAGTGAAGGCAGGAGGATGTCTTTACATTGTGACTCAACTGTAAAGACCAATATATCATTAAAATGTTTTTGAAACTGATTTCAAATTTCTTAACATTCAAATATAGACATCTTTCCTTCACTGAAGCTCGTGACAATATACTGCATAGAAAAGGATACATTTTTTTTCTTTTTTGTTTTTTTTTACCGAGAATGTACAAAGATGTGACTTTTACATGGAAATATAAAGATCCTGAAGAAGCCTCTGCGACAGAGGCGAAACTAGTCAACGAATAAAGTTAACACTCTCTTATTGGTAACGCGTGAGTATGTTGTGATTAATACCCTCTTCATACATACTTCTTAGTTTTTGTTTAATCGCCCTGCATACCTTCTGGTATCCATACTCACAGCGAAGTACCCACTTAATACCCTGACGTTGGCTCCTTCTCTTTGAAGTTTCTTTAGGAAATATAAAGATGTGACAATTGTATTGATAAACAAAGACTTGACTTAAAATTCACTAGTACACAACACAAGATACCACCTTCACTTGCTCTGGAAGAATGAATGCACCTTGCTCAATGAGGAAATCACCAGCCACTACATGGAGACCACACCCCCTCTCCAACTCCCCCAACCCCCCCACCCCCACCCCTCACCCCACCCCAACCCCCGTGAAATGCATATCCTGTACTAGACAAAAAACAGAGTAAACAAAAAATAGACTTCAACAGGTGTGATCTTTAAAATGATTAATCTAGATACATCACATAGATATTGATAAAAAAGATGCTACAGCATAATCAAGAGAAATGACCACTTTGAGGAAAAATGAAGATAAGTAACATTATATATAAGTATAGAACCATTAAATGGAAAAGTGATTTGTTGTTTATCTGGTAATATCACACTTAAGTAAGGGTTAAAAAGACAGTTGGCGTATTTAAATCCTCGGTAGAAGTAAACCTAATTTGGCGTGATATGTCTCGGTAACAGACAAAGACAACGTAATGGGATATCATGGGAGTTTTTTTTTTATTTCTGATAGGAAACTTTTTAAAGTTAAAATAATTGAAGGTTTTTGTTGTTGAATATGACTTGGGATTGCTGGTTGTGGTGTGTTATTGGACTGGTGTAATTGTGTAGAGCACTGACGTTAAATGGACAAGAACTAAGTGATTTTCTGTTTTGTGGGTGACCTGAGTAAAGTACACACCATACAGAAAACTACGAGCAGCTAAACCAGTATTACATATCATGATGCAGGGAAAAGTTCATTGTTCTGTATTTCAAAACTATTTTAACCACAAACAGGCTTTTCTTTAAAAAAAAAAAGGGGTGGCCAGTGAAGCCTTATTAGCTGTTATTGACAAAATTAGAAATATTATTCCATTTAAAAAGAATATTGGGTTAAATGAAAAGTAAAGATCAACTGCTGCATCCAATTTATATCCATGTTAAAAACATCACTGTCAAACCCTGATTTCCAAGTATACTTCAGGTCTTAAAGAAGTGTATGATGTTTGAGTTGTTGGAAATTCAAAATATCACCTGATAGTTCACATATACTTCTCAAACCAGGCTTTCATTGCATTTCTGGTTGCTTACTGAGACTGATCCCAGACAGATACATCAGGAATTAGGTTTGTGTGACCTAGTTTGTATACTTTCTGTGGCTGGTCCCAGATAGCTACATCAGGAATTAGGTTTCTGTGACCTAATAAATGTGGTCCCAGGCAGTCACATTACAAATAAGGTTTGTGTGACCTCACTGTTTACTTTTAGGCTGATTCAAGACAGATGCATCAGGAATTAGGTTTGTGTGACCTAGTTTGTATACTTACTGCAGCTGGTCCCAGGTAGCTACATCAGGAATTAGGTTTGTGTGACCCAGTTTGTATACTTACTGCGGCTGGTCCCAGATAGCTACATCAGGAATTAGGTTTGTGTGACCTAGTTTGTATACTTACTGTGGCTGGTCCCAGATAGCTGCATAAGGAATTACGTTTGTGTGACCTAGTTTGTATACTTACTGCGGCTGATCCAAGATAGCTACATCAGGAATTAGGTTTGTGTGACCTAGTTTGTAAACTTACTGCGGCTGGTCCCAGATAGCTACATCAGGAATTAGGTTTGTGTGACCTAGTTGGTGCATGTGGTCTAACAACTTCTGCTTGTCATCAAACTTAGACTGACAACCAATACAGGTATTCAGATGGACCTTCAACATAAATATCATGGCACCAGGGTAAAGTAAAGTAAAATTGACTCAGAAAGTCACAGTCAAGTACCAAACAAATTCCTGTCATTGTAACAGACAGCAATATTACAAGGGGAGATAACTGTTGAACAGGAAATAATTACATCACATCCATTTTACTTTCGCCCTTCAACATGGTAGGAAAACTATCACAGCAAGTACATGAATAACAGGGCTTGCTTGTTTGATATTTTACATCTCCACAAAAGCATGGAAAATTTTAGTCAATTTTGCATTTCTAGTCAAAGTTGATACAAAGGATAAATATTTGGTTGAGAAAACCTATTTACCTGTCGTCTGATAAAGTTGATAAGTTTCACTTGTTGATAGAAATCTAAATTCATCCTTAATTTGATGTCATGAAGGTCAAGGTCATGAAGTTCCTGCAATACAGAAAGCTATATGTATTATAATTTAATATTACCCTCGGGTTAACATCATTTATTCTTACAACTTCTCAAGCAAAAATAAAAGAAATTGTATTTTCCAAATTATCTATTGTTTGTTTATCTATTCATTGTTCCTTTTGTTTTTCTGAGTGTACATTAATTTTTTTTTATTAGACTCATATGATAATTAAAAAAAATATTGCAAAATTATGAGACTAGTTTTGTTAGTGTTTGTAAAAGATATTTAAAGTTTCATTTTACCTGATAACAAAAAACAAATCTCCGAAATGTTTGCGGTTAGTCTAAACACATTGTAATCATGACACAACACAAAAAAAAAGAAAATTCGGCTCATGAGATTTCACTTACACAACAGTGAGCATTGTATTCTGAGTAACAAACATTGGCTGGGTTCACTAAAGCATCAAGTTACTGTGACGCCCACATATATTAACCCTATATTGAAGGCAGTAGAAGCCATGAAGAGTTATCTCCCTTAGCCAGTAAAGAAAAAGGAAACAACATCATTAAACGGTGTCAGTGGTTCTCAGATTGTTGATTTTCTATGTTAGAAAAAATGTTTTCAAACGAACCTAACTTGAATACTTCTGGACAAAATATGAAAATGAAACACACATTAAGAATAAATATTATAATAAATTCTACTTGTGTGGTAATTTGGTGTATATAAGTATTTCCAGACTTCTCTTTTTCACATAATTATGATGATCACTGACTTATCTCAGCTCTGTGATCTTCTGAACAGAGAAAATATGCAAAACAGAAAAAAAATATATATATACATCAAGAAAGTGTTTAAACCACTACTAGTTTCTGTGGAAACATATAATGATGTCAGAAGGGAGGTAAGTCCTCTACCTAAGCAATGTTTCCCAAACCTTTGTAAACATTTATAAAAAAACAATTATTTCAACTTCAGCTCACGGACAATGACCATTTATCTTTGCAATCAACAGGCTTCAATCAACCAAACACTGGAGGTTTCCAACAATATTGATGATGGGAAATAATAATTGAATGTAAAGTAAAACCTCAATTCTATTAACACTTCCTATAAACTTATTTTTACATATTCTTTTTTCCAGCCTGATATTTCCAGCATGCCACTAGGAAATGCTTGTAAAACCTACTCCTGAATGTCAACTGTAAATGGAGCTAGAAGTTAAACCAGGGAAGCAGAAAAATATAAGACACAGTGATATTCATAGGAAAACATATATGTAGGTACTTCACAAGATGTACTTTGCATTGAAGACAGGCCTTAAAGTTGAGCTGCAGAGATAATACTGACCTGCATGTGTGCATTTAGCTTAGATGAATTATTGGAGGAGAACACACAGTAGAGACAGACAGCCTGAGACCCAGCTTCCTCCTGCCATCCATCCCACTCACTGTCAACATATAATGATTTAATTTCTAATGAAATGTGGCGGCTATTATGTGACAATTTTCGCTGGATTTATTTCCCTGTGAACAGACAGGTCACGCAGGAGGATATTGCATGTATGTTATTTAAAGAAATCGGGAGTGTATCATGACAAAGGTAAAAAAAGGATGAAGTGTGATCAAACTTTCCTAAGAAACACCACCTGGGTAAGAATCAAACCATATTGACAAGAATTTTATCAATGAATGAAGGTTTGATATTCTATTGACTGATCTATTGCAGCCCCTTACAGAGAAAAGTATTTACAGTACCATTCCAGTTTGCAGACCACTTATATATATTGTGCAGAAATTTGATTCCAATTGCCAGAACAAATGGAGCAGAAATTCTGGATAAATCGATTATGAAAAAATTTAAATTTTCTGAAAGATAGCTTTATTTACAGCGTGATATTACCATAATTTTAACTGATTGATGAAGAAGAATGGTTATAAAAATCTATCCTTTGGAAAGACACTAGAAACTTGATTAATGAAGTTACATACTCCTCTGTTTCTGTACTGTCATCACTGACGATATCTCGGTCATTTTCTTGTTGGATAGATTCCCAATTCTTACCCATTTCCTGAAAATATCAACAGACAGATTATATTGTAAAAGTTTAAATTCATTACAAAAAATTAAAACTAAATAATAATTAAATTAATTTGATATTGTGGTCTTTCCTACATGGTCTAATCAACTGTCTACATCTACACATTTTAATTCATGTAACAAAAAAAGCACACACTGATCCACTTCTAATAAAAATCAGTGTAACAATGAGGGTATCATATCATTGAATCAGATGCTAGAGTTATATGTCTGGGGTATATATCTGTAAATAGTTCAATTAGATGAGAACATTGTGTATCATTTAAATATGTAAACATAAAAGGCAAACAAGGCAAATAAACTTGATTATCACTAATGTTTTCAAGCCGTGTCTCGGCTATCTTCAGGCGATCACTTTAATGTCTTGGTAACAACATTATGACGTAATACAATCAGTAATATATAAGGGGAGATTATCTGTAGATATATATATATATATACTTACCAGATAGTTTATCATATAGTACTTGTCATAAGCTTTATTCTTTGGATTGACTTTCTTGTGTTGTTTTTTTCTCATGTGTTCCTTCAGTATGGCTCGATCACGAAAGGTTCTCTCACAATACAGACACTGTAGGCTGCAATGAAACGTTACATGCTGACTACAACACCATTGGTTTTATTTCACAGATAATTGATTCTCTTTACTTTTAATAAATGTCACTTTTGATTTTCTCTGGTGCTCAATCACCCTGCATACCATAGGTATCCAGATCAGAAGTGAAGGAACCCACATCCCACCCAACCAGAACAAACAGCATTGGCACTATTACCAAAATTCTTTTAATTCAGGAAGTATATTGCAAACAAGAATGACAGGGTTATATAAATTATAATTTTTAATTCTGAGAAGTGTTCACAGTTGACTTTAACAAAACAGGAATGGAAGGATAAAAAAGTAATGCCTTACAATTGACACTGCCATGTCTGGATGACAATTACAAAGAGTATAAATGCTTTCAAGTATTAACTTAACACATTGATTGATGTCATATAAAACTTACTTATTCAACTTATCCTGTAACTTTCCCAGCAGCTCATCTATATAAACTACAAATAAAACAAATCACAATTTTTTAACCTTCTCTTGATTAAATGTCATATTGATAATTAAAATCCTTATAATGAAATGCTCTTTATTTAAATATATTTATCATGAAAACACAGCTTCACCAAAATTATCAAAGATAAATTCTTAACAGAATCATAGCATATCTTTTGTCTTACCTAAGTTATTGGTGAGTCCGATGCTGAATCCGTGATCATGTGCCATGTGATCTAATAAGTCAGACCTACAACAGGAAGTGACAGAGGCATGGAAATATACACACTGTACTGACTTAACAAAAGTTTATTATGTCATAGTCATGATACATTTTACTACAAAGAAACAATTTTAATTTATTAAAGTTCAAAGTTCATTATATTAACTGGTTAGGAAATTCAAATATATATGCATAAACAAAGTAGCAGTAACTTCTTTTTTTAATATGATATATATGATATATGCAAATTAAATTTTAAAAGTACATGTGTCAGATACCAGATTTTATCCTACCTCTTTCTGGTGAATTGTGTCCGACAGAACAGACATGTTTGACAGAAGGTCTCATCCTCTCTCTCTGCTTGTTGTTGCTGTAAAACTTCCTCCTGATAAAAAAATCCCATTAACTCTGTATATATCATCTTCTTTTATATTCCAGAGAGAGTAGTGTTCTAATTAAGATCTAATAGACAGCACAAACATACCTACTATTTATACCAGTTATATTTTTTCAATATATACCAGTATTTATTTCTTTTTTTTCATCTTTTCAAAATCAACTACCTGTGTAACACCAACTATCAGGTAATGATATAAAACAGATCCAATCAAAGCACTGAAAGTACTGAAACAGTAAAAACTCTTGTAGAAACATGCAATTACAATAAGAGGTATATATCATCTGAATAAAAGCATGCCTTTATGATTCCTTAACATAAAATCTTACATACATGTATTCTTTGTGGTATGTAAAAAGCTGTACTTAACAATTGTACTTTTATTCCAATATACAAATATCATGATCCTATTAACTAGTATATCTTTGTAAGTAATATATAAGTATATTGCCTAAGTAGTTCTGACTACCATAAATATCTACATCGTATATGCTTTGACTCTACAAAGTCTAACACATTTGAAGTTAGCAACAAACTCTGAAAACAAACTGCAATGAGGAGGACAGTGTTTGAACTTCATACCTGTACATAACTTCATAAGGTATGTACCAGTGTACATATATTCAAAATTAAAAGTCTTTCATTTGTCATTTGGGAAAAACAGATTCCTTGGATTAATGTGTTTTGTTATCTTGTATAAGTGTTTTTTTGCATGCATACATTATGACCCACATTGCTGTGGTGAAAGAAACTGATTGACAATTAAAAAGTATTTCAACTCATAATTACGCAAAATAATTATAAAAATATGATGTATCTTCATATAGGAAAAAAATAATTGTGTAATCCATTATCACAAGCCTGCTAGAATAACACTACAATACATCCTGCTTTACAAGTTCAATGAAATATATAAACATATACACATTGAAAACCCAAGGTAGCTCTTTCTAGTATTCTGCTACTTTCAGACTAGGATGTGATGTACCGAAGTTATGACAAATACGATTCTTACTTATCTCATTGATATCAATTTCATTCCTCATTTCTTTCTATTTGTATAAAAAAAATTTATGTTGATATCATGATAATAAAATATAATAGTGATAACATATTTAGTCATACACAATTACTGATAAAATGGAAGACACACATATGTTATTATGTTATGAAAATGATGGTATTGTCTTATATTGTTTATTGTTATCATTATTAAAACAATAGTTTTTGTATAAATATTCGCAGATTTTTTTCCGTTAGTACACTTAAATTTTCTTAATGCTTCTTATCAGTTTTTATCATAACTTTAATTTCAATTGACGATTTTCCCAAACACAATGAACACTTCAATAATCCATTAACTCTCCTTTATCATTACTAGTCATTATTGTATTTTATTTTGTGCTGAACTGCAGAGACATAAAGAATTTGGTCCGCTTTGAAAAAGTTTCAAAATCAACATATTTCTTATATCTCCTTAAGCTTGAAGTTGTTAAAATCACAAAAAAAGAGAATTGAAATTAATTGTTCAATATGGAAACAGGAGTTGTAAACCCATATACTAACAGATCTTTGAAGAAATTTTCACTGTAAAATTAAGTTAACTAATGCAAAAACATTTCAGGAAACCTAGAGTGATATATGATGAAGCTTACAAGTTTTTTCTTCTGTAGATGCTGTCTGTAGCTTTTGTCTTCTGGTAAAACATCACACAGGAGATAGTAATCCTCTGATGGCTCTATACAGGAAAAAAAACAAGAGTTACTTCCCTTACATTAATATTTCAAAACAAAAACTACGGTAAACTTTTCACTTCACCTGTCACTTCTATCTTCCTCTCCAGATGTAATACTTGTATGTATATTACTGAGAACTAACTCACCTCTATCTTTCTCTCCAGTGTTGGTTCTGATTACTGAGCAAAAGTCTGTGATTGGCTGTTCTTTGAATCTTTGTTTCCAATACACAAGGTACCTGTAGATAACACAGAGAAGTAAAGCCATAAATATGCAGGATCAGTATTACTCATATTTACCATAAACAAGAAGAATATTTTAATATTAATGAAATAAGAAATTTTTTGTAAAACCTTATCCTTACTATACTCCCAAATTTTCAACCATCGATCTTCTTGGAATTATTCTGATGTTCCATTGACTTTTTTTACACTGATCTGGAGTCAATATCAGATAAAATTCAGAATAATTTGGAATCCATCTTATTATTTTTCCTTCAACAAAGTAAACATGTATTCTTAATAGTTTTGTATGAATTGATGTTCCTGAAATTATTAGGAAAGCAGTAATGGTACGATAAGAACTATTGTCTTTAAGTATTAGAGGAAAAAAAGAGCTGTAATTATTGGTGACATTATGTACTTAGATACATATGTTGACAATGGCAAAGCACACAAATAGTATGTGACTGTCCTATTTTACCTTTTTAAATCAGCAACATGGTGAACTTCAGAAATCACAAGTTTGTGTGAGAGAAGGAGATGTCGTAAAAGATCATTATTTCCTTCTTTTGTATCAAATTTTTCCTCACACAAAACACAAGTGATTGTGGCCAACATGTCCTTTTCTTTCCCACAATCCCTTTCTCTATCATCCAGTGTCAACAAATTCAAAGTTTCCAGAACTGGCTGCTCTGATGATCCTGTCACAACATAACAAAAAAAGATTAATTTATTTATTCTAATCTTCAGTAATCTCTCTGACTTTCTCAAGTTGACAATTAAAATAAATAAAATTTGTAAAATGTGCATTAAAGAATAAAAAGCATATATTATTCATACTGTTGGTTCCTAAAACTAAAAAGTTTGCATGCTTCATTGTCTTCTATGAAAAAAAAATCAAAAGAAAAGTATTGCATCAAAAGTGGAGTTGGTGTATTTTACAAAGTATAGTACAAAACTATATATTCTGTCATAAAAACACATACTGGTCGTGAATTCGGGCACCGAATAATGCCAAATATGAATTCCTTTATCTCGTATATTTTTTCACCATAATTCACCAAGAAAAATAGTTTTCATTGCTTAAGTGTAGAAGAGGTTTAAATATTAAAATAAATGACACCACAACAACGTTGTGAATATTTGAGATTTTAATGTGTTCGAGAATAGGTTCACGCCATTACACCGGTGTCTTTTGATCAACTGCCGATTATTTAAACAACAAATTTACGTGATTTTGATATAGCTGAAAATGTTCAAGACATGTCTCTTCTAAGGTTACACAATTATAATGAAATCATTGACAAGTATCCATGCCAGTGGTTAAACAGAAAGTACCTATGATGTAAAACAAATATGGAGATCCAGATCATAAATCATAAGCTAAATATATAATACGTCAAAATAAAGTATGTTCTATATAACAACATGGTCTAAATGCTTAGTCATCCGTAGATCAGCAGATAACTAAATTCGAATCATGATATCAGGGCACCTGCACCTGTCAAATTCATGGAGGCCGCCATCTTTAAGGACCGAGCTGAAAGATTACCGAGCTGAAAGAACGAGGATATTCACAGATTGTTAAATGATATCAAATATACAAAAACGTTTGTCATTTTTTTTAAACTGGTAAATAAAATAACCGTGGCCAGTGGATCCGCAGTTGTTTCTATTTCCGTGAAATATTCCGCAGTTGTGTTTTTGTGACCTTTTCACCTTTCCCCTCAGTTTGAGGTCGGGAATTGTGATCACATGATCACAACATCATATTAACGAGCAACAGACAAAATTTGTTAGATCAGGAAGTACCGAGTTCAAACCTTACAATGGCCGAACGCAGTTGGCGCCCATCAAGGAAGAAATATGGAGTTGGTAAGTATTATTTTTTATTAATATACATTTTGAAATTGTCATACTTATTTTCTAAACGGTGTGTCAATTAATGTTATCTGTGTGTATTGAAGCATTCTCTTGCCTCACCAGCGACAGCAACATGTGTTTCCACATATACTATTACTATTCATTCAGATTGAGACGTCTTACACACGGATATTCTGACATTTGACATATCAATTAAATGTCACTCATATTGAGTTTTAACAGAATACAGCTGTATGCCATTTGACATCACATCTAGACAGATAAATTGATAACTTTGTACAAAATCTACCGCCACTGATTAAGGTAGTTCAGTTATGATTGTATATATAGATAACGTTTTATCTACATATATCACTTTTACTTTAGTTTCACTGTATAGAACTGTTACACGTATTATATACATTAAAGTTGATAGTTTTATTACATACCCCTGTCATATTAATTATATTATCACATTAAACTGCTAATTATCTGTTAAACACCCAAGGAATAATAAATTGTGCCTTCTATTTTTTTCAAGGTATCTTTCATTTTACTATTTGTAAAATCTTATGATGTACAATAGATGTTTGATCAGGAACTGACTACAAAGACACATGCAAAACATTTTCTGGATGAAATTACATGTACATTAAATCTGAATTTTTTCACATGAATAAATTGATGTTGATCACAAATGTTTTGTCCATTATGTCAGCTATACCAAAAGCTGTTTTTATTCTTCTTTAATCATGTTAAAAATTCAATGTGAAACTAGACTATTTACAGCAGACAGGAAAAAATACATGATGGTAATACAAACACCTATTGACATAGGAAGAGTATCAATGATTTGAAAACCAAATCTCAATACATATACAACTTTCTGTAACTGTGTGCGAAGGTTCCTTATACAGAATAACATACCGGTAGTGTGACTGGAAAGGAAAAAATTATTTAATGATAAGATGTTAAGTGGGTGTAATCTTTTATCAACCAATCAATGTCTTGGGTAAATTGTTCCTGATATCTCTGTAACCAAGCTAAGGTCGACCCAAATCATTTCTTTTTCTACTGCAGAAGGTTTTGCTCTCTTCTTTTTTGAAATTAGCATGATCTATGCCTGTGTGTTTCTCATGCTAAAATTTTAGTATTACTGGTAACACTAGGTTAAACAAGAAATGACTTGGATCAGGTATATCAGGGTTTTTTGGGCATGCAAAATTTTAGCCTGAATTCTTTCATATTTGTCTGTGTAATTTAGTGGACCAAAGGCCTTCTAATCACAATAAATTTATGTTTTTTTTTGTGTCATCACCACTTAGAAAATGGTCGAAAACACAGGAAAAAAGATATTTGAGGAATGAATTTTACATAGTATGCCTTGTTTGAAGCTGATGTTTCACATTTAGACTGATGACTGAAGTATGACTTTCAGTGTAACAATCCAATAAATGCCTTATCAGGATTCTACAACCAAATAGGGCATGGAAACTGTGATGCTCTATTGTAAGTGTGCTCTATTTTGATATTTTAAATCCGAAGAAATGCCAACAGATACTTTTATCAAAAACTCATTCAGAAAGTAAGCCCACCCTCTTCTTAAAGTCATAGGTTTATCATATCTATATTTCCTTGAGTAAGCCAAACATTACTTATGTCTTGAAGGAGACTGGAGGTCTCATTACAGGGCAATGAAATAACATTAGTAGGTGGGCTGATTACCGAGCATTTAATTGCCTGATACATCACAGTATGTGTTTGAACCCTTTTCATTAGTTAATAAGCTTGCATTGTCAAAAGGGCTTTTAGGGTAACTGTCCCTTGTGAAATGTGGTTTGTTCTGTCTGTGCATCCATCTGTCTGTCTATGCACTTGTCTTTGCAAGGTCATTTTCTGGACCAGGGCTCTGAAACCATTCAAGATAATTACTCAAAACTTTGTACAGTTATCACTCTCCGTAACAGCGGTGGAATGGAGTTGATACAAATGTATATATAAATGATTGTGTGTCTCTCTATTAAACAGCAGAGTGTGAGGGATTATATCATGCTTTGCATTATCTTGTGCCAGTTATGGTATTGTGAAACATCCTTTGTAATTTGGTCAAATTTTTCTTCCATTCCAGAGCACCAGATCAATTGGTGAAGGGGATGCAAATTTTTAGAAATAGAGGGGGTCTAGACCTTCCCGGACTGGTCCAATTGGGGAAATAGAGAGAACTATTCAATAATTATTTTACTTGTGTTGAAATATATAAAATGTAGAAGATTGAGACAAAATTCAAGCAGCTTCATTTCTGATGGATTTTTGTTCAAATATTACATAATTATAAAAGGACTATTATATCTGAGTTTTGTGGTATCAAAGGTCAAGTACATGTTACCATTTTAGAAAATCCATGTTCAGTGCCCAAGTGACCTCATTTACAACGGGATTGCCAACAAACTTCACATTTATATACAGGATCATCTGATACAAATGAGTTTGAGTTTTATGATGTAGAGTTAAGGTCAATGTCACCGTTACTCTTTTAAAAAATTCCTTAATTTTTGTCAGTGCTCATGGTTACGTAAATCACCCAATTGAATATAGTGTGATAGGTTGTTTTGATATCTCAGTTATATGTATACAATAAAATGATTAATTTAAACATGATACCTAGCAGATTATTACATCTTAAATATCTTGATAAAATCAACAATTTTAAAGTATTTCTGTGGAATTCTCATTGATGCATTAAATTCCAGTTGTGTGACAGAAAATTTACTACAGGACATCTTGACAAGATCACAGATTGTATTGTTTTAGATTCACCATGATGTCTTTTTATCCTTGAGTGTCATGTCATACTAAATTTATGATTATATTAACTATTCAGAAATCATGTCTTTCTTTAAGAGGTCATTTCCTATTGAAATCCAGAAAATGACACACAAAAAAAGTAATCGTTAAAAATGTGGATATGTCTAAGTTGTTTGCACAAGTATAAATGGACAGGCAACGAAGTGGGCCCACTTCACACCACTTAACATTTTAATAGGATGCGGTTGTGGGTATTGTACCATTTTGTTGGTGTAACAGTTCATCACTGTGTTTATGTTGTGTGGGTTGTACAGATAGGTTTGTAAGGTCATTTATTAGAAATTAAGGAAATCTCAGAAAAATTCAAAGGAAAAGAATTATAGATATAATACCCAAGCATTGAAGTCTTCTTATTTATTCATACTTGAAATCGTGTTGTTGTCTTTATGATTAGACTTTGCACAACAAGATTAAATATCAATTTGCTTTCTATTTGTCCCAGATAATAAAGAAAATAGATCTGCCAACTGTACATATACTAAGGTTGCTTCATGCCTGAATGCATACCTTTCTATGTCTCAAAGAATATTTCAATCTTCATTCTGTAAAGATGTATTTGTATAGGAAAATTATGATCAAATATTTGTATCACAATTATAAGATATTACAATGTAACATTTGAAAAGAACACTAAAATTCATCTGTTCTCTTGATGAAGCTATTTTCTATACTGAAAAGAGTTTTGTCAGTTAAAACAAGCTATGTGTGGATTTATAGTTACAGGGTGTGGTGGTGATGTTTGATTATGGTATCAAAGCACTGGTGAAATCAGGAAGTAGAATAATTTATTTTACAGTGTTTTACTGGTAAATAATTTCAGGATTATTATTGATAAAGAGGTCACATTTGAAGGTGTGTCAGCTAGAGGCGAAACCTGCTGTACCTCAGGTACATAATTCATAATGTCAGCATCATAGCAAGATACAATGTAAATAAATTGAAGTAAAAAAAAAGTCACACAGATGTTGATTATAAAATCATCACCATACAACATTATTGCTAATTAAGTGACATGTATGTGTAGAATCTGATGCTATCAATTGGTTGTGAGGGTCATTTACAGCCTGCTACCCACAGTGAATAGTGACCACATTGACCAATTATTGCGACACCAATATCTTTATTAAATTAATGTGTGCGGTCTCACAATATGTACGAAATTTAATGGAAACAAATAAGAAAGGGTTTGGACAATCACTTGACGTTAAAGTATTGTTTTTATTGAAAAAATCATGCATTCGAACTAAGTTCCTATTTGAACTGACCGGAGGTTTACCGTTTACGGTTTCTGTACCTGTGAAATCGTACTCTCTCCACCATGACAGCTGCAATAGAAAATATATAGAATGTAAAGGAAATGTAAAGGTTCCTCAAAGTACAGATTGTATTTCGATTCGTGTAGTTGCAATATAGATATTTGCAATTAAATTACGTAATCCTATAGAACGACTAGTATGAAAAGTTTTGATCCAATTTCATCATCAGTTATGCCATATCATTGTGATAAGTATTTTATGGATCGATATATACTAAAGCATGACGGCCACAAACTGTTGGTTAATAAAGGCTGATTTAGGTCTTTATAACTGTACGGCATGTTTAAGGACTTGTGATAAACATTTTACTCTTTCCATGGTTTAAAGAAGTCTGACAGTCTGATAAAAGTCTATTAAAACATGTATTCCAATGTTCCTTCATGTACAACAAACATATATATTTTTTATTGTAATAACGTACATGTTTTATGTTTTTACGATTTGAAATTTCTTTTCTTTATTTGATTTAAATTATTTTACAACCATTTAAAAAAAAAAGGCTTTCAGCGTATATCAGTCACTCTTGTTGTCTTGGAGAAAAGTTATAAGCAAGATGTCTTACTGTTGAAGGAAACTGCATTATCCAGGCAAAACACATATGGTTGGGCAGGTATACCTTTATATGTCCTTTCAGGGAATTGGACCCGGGATGTCTTGGTGAAAGAGGAGTTTGTTGTATTTAGTCTTTTTAATTGATTAAAAAAATTATGCATAAATAAAATAAACATAAAATGTTTATGATATTTACATAATGATAATTTGTTTTGATTTTCAGCAATATTCAACTTTTTGGGAAATGTTAAGAATGGTTTAAGGCTACAGATTGGTGAAACTGTTCACATTTTGGAGGAATATGGAACAGGAGCTAAGGGTGAGTACTTCATCATTTACATGGTTTTTAGGTCATCTGACCAAATGGTTTGATGACCTATTGTGATCGCCTTTTGACTGCCAGCGTCCGGCGTACTTTGTCTGTCTTAAACATTTTCAACTTTTCAAGTTCTACAAGTCTCATTAAGCTGAAACTTAATTGAAATGATAGTGACATGATCCTGACCAAAGTTTGTTAATTTTGGGTTGGTCCGAAATCCAACATGGCCACCATGGCTGCCATCTTGAAAACACATTTTTCGACTTCTTCTCAAGTTCAGAATTTGTAATCTTGTATTTTATGTCAAATGGCCGTTAAGGCCCATGGGCCTCTTGTTTATTGTTTTCACCTGAAGCAAACAAGTGTGAAGACACAACTATGGTATCACATATCTGATGGTGATGACGACAGTGGCAACAACAGTATCCTCGCGATCGTCAACATTTTACTTAAAAGTTTTGCGTTCAGGTCCGTTGCCCAGAAATAATAGTGCAACTTTAACCAAACTTAAGATATAGTTATAGAACATTGGTGACACCTCAACTTATCAAATAAACTTGTATTTAGAATTTTGTCCAGAACGAGCTGTCAAGGGACTGTGGATATTGAAAAGTATATGTGACAGTTTTGATGCATATATATTCCAATGTTTTAATTATCCAGTTTGTGTCTATTTGATATATGAAAATCTATTCAGCACAAATTCTTACAAATATGTTTCATTAATTTACAAAGTTGTTAGCTTTGGTTTTCATTAATTACTACAAGACTTCATTTATTATCAAAATGTAGGATGAATATCTCAATTTAACTCCCTAATTAATCACACAATATAGGATGATTTTAATCGCTTTGCCATATTTTGGGACTTAAAGCTCAAATTTTGAGAAACGAAGTTTGAGTTTGGGGTCCTAGACACCACAAAATTTATTCTTTATCTCCAAAACTTTGGTTATTGTATTTAAAAATCTGTCAACATTTTACCTGTTTAATTTGTTCATAGACATTTAAGTTCAGGTATCATCAATTGTAATGTAAAAACTACTATCTTTACACAGTATTAGCAGAAATTTCTTTAAGGATTTTATAAATGATATAAAGGTTGGGAAATGGCAGGTTGTAGTTCATTGGTGATAAAACTTCTGTCTCCAGCATCAGATTTGTTGTTGTTTATTTTGGCAATTAATCCTTACCTTAAATGATAAAACCACAGACTCATGATAATTTTTTTCTCAATTTTGAATATAATTACCCAGACAGGTCTTATATTTTTATATTTCTATTTTAAGAACTGGTTACAGTATACAATGTTGTCACATAAAGTCTGAGAGGTCAGAGGTTATCACAAGAAGTCTGGAATCCTTTACATGGATCTAACCTGACTGGTGTGTCAACACACTGTAGTAATATTTCTGTTTATTTTGTCAAAAGGCTTCTTCTTATCACTCAATTAATACACATTCAGATACAGGATTGGTGTGGTGTGTAGGGGGTGGGGGAATACCGACCAATAGCAGCACTGTATAAACAACTTATCATAATAGTCAGAAACTTTGTTTGAACTTCCTTGAAACCAAGGACTTAATCGATCAATTGCAGTTACACTTCCAGGAAATTCTAAGGGTAAATATAGTTGCTCCTTTGTCTGTCCTTCCATCTGTCTGTCCTTTCATGTATAGAGCATAATTTTGCTTGCATTGGAACTAAGCTAATGAAACTTGTTATATACAGCGGTCATATAAGACAATTACAGTGTATTCAAGTCAAGGCCCTTTACCTCTTAATTACAAAGTTATTGCCCTTTACTAAAAAAATTCATGTCTGGAGCATAACTTTGCTTTCATTTAAGCTAGGATAATGAAATTTGGTATATTCATTGGTGATACTAAGGAGATGTGCAGTGTACCAAATTCAGGGCCTGCAATTCAACCCCTTAATCACAGAGTTTATTGGTCCTTGTTAAAACTTTATGTCTGTGCATACCTTTGCTTCCTTTAAACTAGGATAATAAAATTTTACGTCTATATTGGTCATACTATGATGATGTGCAGTATATCTAGTTCAGACCTAAAACCACTTAATTACATAATTATTGCCTTTTGTTAAAACTTTGTGTATCATAAAGTTATTAGTTTCGCTGATACATTTGTTCATGAAGACAGTTAATATTGGTGTTAACACCCGATAGGTTGATTCCAAGCAAAACACTATAAACAGCTTTACTGCTTATTACATGATAGTTGAAAAGATATTAAAATTTCACTGTTGTAACACAAGGACGATTTATATTAAAGGATAATTGTATCGGGTATATTGTTCATTTCTAGTGTTGACAGTCTCATAAAAATATTTAAACATTCTGCCTAATGACATTAGACAAGGTAGTGTAACTAACTAGACAATGTAGTATAGCTAACTAGACAAGGTAGTGTAACTAACTAGACAATGTAGTATAGCTAACTAGACAAGGTAGTGTAACTAACTAGACAAAGTAGTATAGCTAACTAGACAAGGTAGTGTAACTAACTAGACAAAGTAATTTAACTAGACAAAGTAGTATAGCTAACTAGAAAAAGTAATATAGCTAACTAGACAAAGTAATTTAACTAGACAAAGTAGTGTAGCTAACTAGACAAAGTGGTGTAACTAGACAAAGTAGTGTATCTGACTAGACAAAGTAATGTAACTAGACAAAGTAGTGTAGCTAACTAGACAAAGTAATGTAACTAGACAAAGTAGTGTAACTAACTAGACAAAGTAGTGTAGCTAACTAGACAAAGTAGTGTAGCTAACTAGACAAAGTAGTGTAGCTAACTAGACAAAGTAATGTAACTAGACAAAGTAGTGTAACTAACTTGACAAAGTAGTGTAGCTAACTAGACAAAGTAGTGTAGCTAACTAGAAAAAGTAATATAGCTAACTAGACAAAGTAATTTAACTAGACAAAGTAGTGTAGCTAACTAGACAAAGTAGTGTAACTTACTAGACAAAGTAGTGTGGCTAACTAGACAAGGTAGTGTAGCTAACTAGACAAAGTAGTGTAGCTAACTAGACAAAGTAATGTAACTAGACAAAGTAGTGTAACTAACTAGACAAAGTAGTGTAGCTAACTAGACAAAGTAGTGTAGCTAACTAGACAAAGTAGTGTAGCTAACTAGACAAAGTAATGTAACTAGACAAAGTAGTGTAACTAACTAGACAAAGTAGTGTAGCTAACTAGACAAAGTAGTGTAGCTAACTTAATGGTATGAAATCCTTCATTCTTAATTATCCAAAGCCTTTAATATACAAATATTTTGCCTTAAATATTCTCGGGTACTTTTGACTCTAAGTAGGGGAACGGGCAGCTTACACATAGCCATAAAACGGTAATGAACATAGGTGGGCTTATTAATAGGCATCAGCTCATTGCTGGGTCAATATGGCAATTTTCAGATTTTGTTTGACAAATTGTGGCCACTCCAAGTTTTAAGCAAAGTACATGTCAGTGAAGTAAATGGCAAAGAATGGTTCAGTGTGGACATGGTGCCCTTGAGAGTCTCTAGACCTGTACATACATTTTTAGTCAGGCAGAATGTTTACTTACTGATAATGGTACCAGTTGATGGATAGCTCCTAAGTGAATTTTTTTTTTATATAATTTATGAATTATCACAGTTTTTTTTGTGATAAGACGGCATTGTCAGATCAATCGACAAAGCAGTGCAAACAAGAACAATAAGATCAGCTTAAGATACTATAAAATCCACATATATCCTTGAAATAGCCAGGATTGAATAGTGGACTATTGAAGAGAGATATCTATAGGCCTAAACCTACCAGCTGAAGAAACAAAAAGATTGTGTATACATGAAAAATGGAAAAGATAAATATGCTTAGTTTTATAATAGGGATAGGTGTCAATAGCAGTCAAGGTAATGTCTGATTGTTAGGAAACATGGAAGAAAGCCACAACCAGTAGGGAAGGACTTCACCAGGGGCAGGGGGTACAGAAAAAATGTTTAGACAACATCAGAGGCACATGCACGGGAATATTGTGGTGTATGTAGATAGCTAAGTGTGGACAGCTGGAATAGCATGTCATGTACAGAAGTGTTGATGTTTGTTAACACCCACTATATATAGAACCGTCACTCACACAGTGCTTGATCTTTCAGAGATGTCAGTGAATATTGGAGGTTAAAAAAAAAGTCATATTAAATGTGTAGATTATGTATAATGGTAATACTAATGGAACTGATTAACGCTGTTTAAAGAGATGATATGTAAAGAACTTTGAATGATGAAAGTATCTTCATTATATTTGATGATTTACTTTAGAGTAAACGTCTATGATGGCTGTTGCCTGTTATATTGCCATGGGTATAAAGCTTTAGCTCATTGTAAGAACTGTCTTTGTTCACATCATTGTAAGTCCATGTTGGTAGACTTCCCATAGGATCAGATGCATCAAAGAAAAATGAAAAGATAAAAGAAATTACAGAATAAAAACTTAAAGCCTGGAAAGGTCATGAAATTTCTTTATGAAGTAGTTAGAGTTTGTGATAATTGAATTATCTACACTGGCTAGATATGGTAAAGGTATTATCTACAGTGGCTAGATATGGTAAAGGTATTATCTACAGTGGCTAGATATGGTAAAGGTATTATCTACAGTGGCTAGATATGGTAAAGGTATTATCTACAGTGGCTAGATATGGTAAAGGTATTATCTACAGTGGCTAGATATGGTAACGGAATTATCTACGGTGACTAGATATGGTAACAGAATTATCTACAGTGGCTAGATATGGTAACAGAATTATCTACGGTGACTAGGTATGGTAACGGAATTATCTACGGTGACTAGATATGGTAATGGAATTATCAACAGTGGCTAAATATGGTAACGGAATTATCTGCGGTGACTAGATATGGTAATGGAATTATCTACTGGCTAGATATGGTAACGGAATTATCTACGGTGACTAGATATGGTAACGGAATTATCTACGGTGACT